AGCTCCACCGAAAAATATCGATTCAAAGTAAATGGTACATCACTCTGCCGGGCGATGACCGCGGAGTGACCTTGGCCACTGGCACTCCACGATTTGCGCCCGCCTTTGGAAACTTCAATATCACGCTGAGAAATGCGGCTGCTAGTGACACAAAGTCGGTGGCCGAGAAGGAGCTCACGCTGGTGATAGAGCGGCATGGGCGCGTTCTGCAGAGCTTCGATGTGATTGATGGTAATCGAAGGGTTGCTGAAGCGTGCGAAAGCATTCGCCATAACGATAGATTGGCGCTAACCGCTGGTGCACGGAGGGGTTATCGGCCTGCCATGGATGTCGTCATCACTCCTGGGGTCGATATGGCTTTGGTAAGTATTTATAAGAATCACCTAAAATCCGCTACACGCGCTGACTTTGACCTTCCCAGATTGTGGCCATTGCCATCATCGCCTGCGACAGCGTCTTTAGTTCCGAATCCGGCTGAGGTTAGGCTATAGTGTGGTTAAATGATATCTGCTCTAGTTGCTCTCTTGACAAGCTATTGTTCCTGTGTAGATGAAGTCTTCAGCTTATACCCGCTCCAGGCGCTGCGGGACGGCGGGCGATGATGTCCGTCCCTTTTCCTGGCAGCATGGAATGCCACCCTTGAAGAGGCACCCTAACCACTTTAGCCACTATCGGCTGCCGTGATCGGGACATTACTTACCATATAGACCCTTGCAAGAAAAGAAAGGGTGCTGGGCACTTACACCTTCGAATGGAGCCCCTTTCATGCGATGCAACCCTGGAGTGGCTTGCTACGGAAGGCGCTCGGATTCCGCATTACGTCCGACCGTACGATACTCACATGGGCCCGGAACAAGTCAGACTTGGTGTAGGGTCGCTTGGAGGAGATCGTCTGTATTGGCCCCATTTTCATATTCTCGGAGGAGCCGTCAGTAAATGAAGCCCAGTGCACCACACCATGTGTTATTCGAGTAATAAGGCCACAGGGTCCGGTGTGTCACCGACGATACTTGAAAATCCGCGGAGAGCCTATTGAGAGCTGAAATTGTGATTTCCATGACTCGTGGTAACATGGAGCAACTGGCGTATTAGGTTGGGCGGAGATTTTTGTAAGCTGGGGGCCAATAAGACCCACACCGTCACTGCCAGTTTTTGTCCTGCTTCCTTCCTCTGTCGCGATCAGTCTTTTACCCAGTCAACAGATCGATTTGAATACCATCCGGTATGATCTTTGATTTTCCTCTGAAGGATCTTGTTATCCTTTATGAGGGACGGGAGCCGCTGGATGCCCGCGGAGAAGACGTGGAGAGTCCCAAACAAGCATTTGTGGGACCCAGTTAATTGGATATTTCACACATATCTTGTCAATACTTTGCTCCCTGATTTGCTCGCATTGAGATTATTTCGGATAAGCCCGGTGAAACTAGCGTGGGAGATGCATGAACAAGAAAATGAAAAGGAACAGAGAGGGGCAAAACAATAAGTTCCTTTCTGTCTAGACCTCTACATAGCCTATCAATGGGCCCAGACCCCCGGCCCAAAACCCAACCCATAGCCTATTGATAGGGGCCTATCAAAGCCCATCAAAAGCCCATTTCTAATTTCTATACATAAATATAATCTTAGCATACATAAAGTAGATGATTAATGATTATATTTTACGTACGTACCTATATCTTTAGTATTATTAACGTATTCAGTAAGCGAGCTGCGCACCCCAGAACACATAGTAAAAGCGATAAATTACAACATGATATTCAACAACCAACCCTTTTATTTAATTTCATTACTTGTCGATAGCAATTGATAAGTATTTTTAGTATCATATATCAATTTTGATTAAATTGAGAACTTACATTGTTATGGTATTGAAAAATATATCTCTAAACTCTAGAAATATATATATCTCAGTCATTAATTTATTAAGTTCACCTAAACTCTAGCGAGTGGCTATATATCATATAAAAAGCATTAGGCTACAAAGAAAAGCTTATATAAACAACCGTTGTTAAATTATCATATTATAATTTATCGCTTTTACTATGTGTTCTAGGGTGCGCAGCTCGCTTACGTACGCAGCTCGCTTACCGAATAACGTATTTCACTACCGAGTGGCGATCTCCAAAACACATAGTAAATGCGATAGATTATTTCAACAACCACAAGTTAATTTAATTTTCACTATTAATGGATATGTATCGATAAGCATTTCTAGTAGCATGTATTAGTTTTAAAGAGATTAGAAGACTATATTACTATCATTTCAAAAATTACCGAAAATTACGTTACTAAAATTTAGAAATAGATATATCTTAGTCACCGACACATTAAATTTCTCGAAACTCTCTAAAGAGACTAGATATCACCTCAAAAATATTAGGTTATAAGGAAAGCTCTATATAGACTACCGTTGTTAAGATATCAAGCTGTAATTTATTATATTTACTACGTGTTTTAGAGGTGGCCACTCGGTAGTGAAATACGTTACGTTATATTATTAACGTATTTCACAAGCGAACCGCCCACACAAGCGAACCGCCCACCCCAAAACACTATAGTAAATGCGACTTGGTATCTTAACAACCACGTTTTTGTTCTAGCTCCTTATTTGTCGATATCTATCGATAACACTCACTAGTACTATATATTAATTTCAAAGAGAGTAGAAGACTATATCATTAAGATTTCGAAAATTACCGAAAATTGCGTTATAAAAAACTAGAAATATATTTATCGGAATTATAAAGTTATAAAATTTCTTTAAACTCTATAAAGAGACTAGATATCACCTAGAAAGTAGAAAGCTATAAGGAGAAGTCCCTATAGCTAATGGTTGTTAAGATATCAAGTTGTAATTTATCGCATTTACTATGGTGTTTTAGGGTGGGCGGTTCGCTTGTGAAATACGTTATAGTAAGAAGTAGGAATTAACATATTCGGCAAGCGAGTGGCCACCTCCCTAAACACATAGTAAATACGATAAATTACAACTTGATATCTTAATAACGGCAGTCTATATAAAGATTTCCTTATAACGTAATGCTTTTTTTGGTAGTTTCTAGCCTCTCTAGGGAGTTTAGGAAATATATATGACTTTGTGGTTGTGATATATATATTCCTAGCGTTTTGTACGGTAATTTTTTAATACCGTAATAATATACGTATTCGGTTTTCTTAAGATTGATATATAGTATTTAAAATTCTTATCAATAGCTATCGATAGGTAATGAGATCAAATGCAAACGTGGTTGTTGAGATATCAAGTTGTAATTTATCGCATTTACTATATGTTTGGGGAGGTGGCCACTCGCTTGCCGAATACGTTAAGTGGAATTTATATTGATTTTAGTATTATAATACTAGGTTTTATATAGAATTTTATACAAAATAACCCTAAAAAGATCCAATTCGTACCTAGAAGGAATTACTAAGTATTAATATAAAGAGATATATATTATCTATAGAGGATTGATACTACTTTCTATAGTTAATTATAGCAATACTTATAGTACCTCTACTTACTATATAAATCCCTAATAAAAATACGTACCTCTTATAAAAAAGTAAAGCTGATAGACAGATCTAGTACGACTACTAAATTGAGTATTATAGTGCACTAGAAAATGTCATGTTGCGTTAGGAAAGGAAGAGAACTTGTCGAATACCAATGTTACGCACTAGCTAACTAGTCATAGTTAGGTTAGATAGGTTCAGGGTATACTTGCCTTAATACTCCTCGAATAGTCTAACGTTAATGATCGGATCGTAACTAAGCTATTACCGCGTAGGGTCTTATTATAGCCTAAGTCCTTTTAAGCGATTAAGGAACTAATATTAGGTAGAGCGCCGAGTAGATCTATACCGGAGTATTAGTCTACTTATAAATATTATTAAATTATAATTAAGTAAAGAGTTATAGTAATCTAAAAGGTAAATATAAGTAATAATATATAATTAAAAACGAAGAACTAAACTAGATATATAAATAAGTATCCTTATATATCCCTAAGTTCTTCTTTTAAATAGCTTTAAATAATAATTTATTAGTCCTAATTTTTCTTTAATTTTAAATAGTTTTAATTATAGATAGTCTAATTTATTACTAAGTCGTTTAGTTTTAATATTATAGTATAATAAATAAGTCTTCTCTTTTTTTTTAAAGTTAGGTCTCTTTTTATAATAGTTATTATAATATTTTTTTATATATAAATTAATAAAACTAATATTTTTAGTTTGTTATATAACTAACTATATAATTTCTTTAGTCTACTAATTTTTAGTCTTATTAATTCTACTATAGCTATTTTATTAATTAATTCTCTTTATATTATTAGATTATATTTATAATTTATAAAGAATAATATTTCATTAATTATAAAGTATATTACTGCCTATTTATCGTCGAACATATAAATATAGCGAATATAGATCAAATTTACGATACTTTCGAAAAAAAGCACTTAGAGGATCGGAGATATTAAATATATAGCGAGGATCTCCTACACGAAATGTATCGAAGGCACGTAGAAGATGTTCATTATCTTGCCACCGAACACAATTACGACGCAAAAGAAGACTTAGGGTCAGACATTGGTACGGACTGACAGAGGCGTGCAATCTGTTCAGCCCAGGTAACGTATCAATATAAACGAACATTAATATGGGTGACTGTGATGGTAGAATCGCTCTTTTAGGCGTTATTTCATTGAACACCATTCCTACGTTTAGCTAGTAAAAGATTCGCCATTTTTCGCAAAATTTCATATCAGGAAGCCCTTTTACGTACATTGATAGAGAGTATCAATTTAAAAGCGATTGCTCCTATTCGATCAATTTATATCTGTTAGTGCGCTATATTGGCCGATAGACTAAGCCCTTACCCCGCGTACATAGCATTGAGAATAGAATGTCAAATACGTGTTACACTGCGTGTACATAGTATCAAATGGAATTCCTCTCCATAAATACTTATCCCAAGACTAATAGGTCTCGAGGCATGCTTAGCTATCACGAAGTTCCTCTACCTGCGTGATATCTTTAACACACGTAGCGCCATACTCTCTCATCATCTGTATCTTCTCTTCCATACTTATCCCTAAACTCATTCTCCCAAAATCTTTTGGAAGTTGCCTATCACTCTCATATCTTAACACCCACACACCCACTCCATCCGTCGGCCAACCGAACACTAGCACCTTTTCTTCTTCCTCCGTCATCTCCCTCGCACCTAACCGCACTTCCAGCCTATCCTCCCTACTCGACCACCACTTAGCACCAGTCCGTCGCATGAGATTACAGAATCTATCTTCTTCGTCGATACTAGGAGAGCGCTGCGTCTCCTGAGAGCGGGAGAGCGATAGGAAGAGCATATCGAGAAGGTCAGCCTCTTTAACGAGAACTCCACCAGTAGAGGGGTAGCCGTAGACAACGCATCCTCCTGGGCCGGTGCCGAACTTGGTCCGTTCAATCGTCGATAGAGGAGGTAGCATGGAGGATGAGGCCCAGTCGTTCCGCGAGTCCCCTATTACTGTTCGCCGATAGAGATAATTCGAAATAGGATTGAGATTGATGGGAAATATGCGGCCAATGGTTTGTTGGCCGAGAGTCGATAGAAAGGTAGAGATGATGGCGACGAGCATGATGTTGAACCTCCAAGTTATATTTCAATAAGGCTATAAATAGGACAAGACCGAAGCTCCGAATGAGTGCGCTCTTAGGTTCATGTAGATGACCGTTTCAACATATAGAGGAGCTGGGGGAAGTCCCTTTAACTGATTAGGCAGCGACCTTGACATATTCAAGTAATGTTCTGCCGAGGTCTACCGCTAACCGATGGGATGTCCTCAGCGTTTTCGTAGCAGTAGGTATATCCCAGCCAATGGGAGTTACGAACGCCGCCGCTATATAGAACAAAGTCGAAGAGGCTCTAGTCGTGGGGCTAAGTCGAATTAAGAGGAATCCAAGGCTAACTAGCATGGATGGGGAATGGTGGGGATTGCGCAATTTAGGGCGAAGAGTGGCGAATTGGCACTATATGGGATCTAAATGGGAGGATCAGACGGATTCGCTTCGGGCAGGAATTGAGTCAAGAGCGTCCGATACTCCGTAGAAAGAGTAGAAAGGGCAGAGTCCCAAGTGAGCCCCACTTAGTGTACATAACTTCCAAGCTCTACCGCGGCTCAGACCTCTGCATAGCCCATCAATAGGCCCAGACCCCCGGCCCAACCTACAGTCCATTAATAGGGACCCATCAAAGCCTATCAAAAGCCCATTTCTTTTGCACAAATACAGTGTTAGCATACATAAAGTAGATGATTAATAACTATATTTTACGCAGGTACCAACCTATATCTTCAGTATTATTATATTATCATAGTAAGAAGTAGGAATTAAGTGATTTTAGCATCATAATGCCAGGTTTCATAAAAAATTCATATAAAATAACCCTAAAAAGATCCAATCTAACCATAAATTCGTACCTGGAAAGAATTACTAAGTATTAGTATGAAGAGATATATATTATCTATAGAGGATTAATACCACTTTCTATAGTCAATTGTAGTAACACTTATAGTACCTCTACTTACTATGTAAACCCCTAATAAAAATAAGTACCTCTTATAAAAAAGCAAACCTTTATAAAAATCAATTTTGATTCTTATTTATATCTTCTAACCTACCTTTCTCTCTCTTAATATCTATTTCTTCTTAACTGCGTATAGTAGGGAGGAAGAGGATGCGAATTGAGGATGATATATATGAGTATTCTTAGTATATAGGATATAAATATGCTTTTCGGCCTCCTTGTAAATCAAATCAAATTGACAGAAAGCTGGTGTACGAACAATGTATGGTATAAATGACCAATGTTTTCAACTCTAACTAACTAAAATGACAAAACCCGCTATTTCAACAATCTATGCGGACTATGATGACTAACTATAATATACACTTTTGTATGGTATGCCTGGTACCTAATGTCACATGATGTTTCCGGTATATTACCTGGTTTCTACCATGTATTCGGACTTGGTATTCGACATCTTATTCTAAATTTAAAATTTGAACTTTATACGATCGGTAGAAGGTCGTAATATAACGATTATAGAGTCCGCTTTATCAACGCCTATATAGGTTTTTATAGGGCCCACGGCCTAACCTACAGTGGGCTATGGGTTGGGTTCGGCTTTGAAGGTTGAGCCCATAGCCCCACCGTGGGTTGGGCGGTGGGCCTAGGGTCCGGGCCCATTTATGGGCTTTGCGGAGGTCTAACTCCAGGGACAATAAGATTGCCGGGTGCTAAGGTGACTTGTGGGGTCCACGGAATTCGTATCAGGTAATTTCAGACAACCCACTACATGCAGATCTCGCTCGTATTCTGCATAGGTCCCCGCTGATCGAATGCTTTGCTTCACACCCATGTTGTAGAGAGAGCCTCGAGACGATTTGCGCCAGATCTCGATGCGGAGTATCGAAACGAATCTCTAGATTGGTTCATTTCCTCAGATATGCGACCTAGATTAAGTGCGGCCATATCGCCAAATCTTACCAGGATTTTCCGCAATGCACATCCCAAACCCTAGGTAAGGATCGCCTGCAATAGCCGCAACTGGGTTTGGGACGGACAGGAGTGCACCCCCTGAAGGCAACCGAAGACAACCTTCGGAACCTTCCAAGGTTGGAAATTTCAAAGCGGGTTATCAGAAATGGTTACCTGTTATAGAATAGTCCCGGCACTAGCATCACAGTAGCATCTGGTGGTATCACACGGACTTGGATCTTTTCAAGCCATTGACTCCACTGGGTCGGACTTGATTCGTGGTCATTAGTGGAGTGGATTGTTCGGCTAGACTCAAGTCATGGAGGAAAAGCGGCCTGTGTGTTTCTACATCGTACTTTATAGTAATGAGAGGCTTGAGCGGTGGCATCTGAAACTCATTGGAAGCTACCGTTGTGTCAGAACAGTTGCCATGCAGGTGGCTTCCACATGGTTTGGTCAGAGTTCTCTTCCAAGGGTTGATTGCGTCTCTAGAAGAATGTTGGAATAAATTCAAAGCTTTTGAAAAAAAGGGGTTTCTTCTTCTTTTTCTTTTTCTTGTTCTTGTTCTTTTTCCCCACACGTGAAACCCACCATGTTCCAAGATTAGAAATTCGCCCTAACCTCTGCCGAAGGGTCCATTGTTCCAAGGTTTGAAGCAGATGTCTAACCCTTTATTAACAAGCGTGTAGTATTGCCCATTGGTTCTGGCTATTTCCTATTTGTCTATGCATTTCCCATTGTTTGTCCGCATTTTTCTTTCTTTTTTTTTTTTGACGAGAACGTCGCATTGGCCCCTCTCTTTCTTGGCCCGTTCTCGCCCGTAGTCGTAAGGCTTGATCTACACGGTAGTGGATTTTCTCTTACTGTAACTTTTTTCTCTCTCTAATCTATCTTATTCTTGTTGCTCCTTCGGACATCCTTGCATACTTCGTAGGGAAACTATACGGAGTACAGCATGAATTGGTAACGATATATTCATTCTTCGGGTCAATATGTTGCCCCTTGAAGGTCGTAGCCAGTCGATCTTTATCGTTACTACTGTCTTCCTTGGAATCTCATTTATTGCCGTGTGTCTACGATGCTTCGTGCGCCTCCGACTTGTCAAGGCCTTTGGCTGGGATGATACCTTTATGGTATGCGCAATGGTATGTGTGATAGGTTTGATGCCCAAAACTGAGATCTGGGCTAATTGATTTGCAGTTGTTAAACATCTTGTTTGCTTTATGCGGCATCACTGGCGCATTATATGGAATCGGACAAAGATCCAATGACCTCGTGAAGAGGGGTACGATGGAAACCGCAATGTTTGTATGTTGGCCTTCAACCCCCAACCTTCACTTACGAGATAAGAATCACATGCTAAAACTCCCCTAAAGTGGTGGTGGCTCGGTCAAACCAGCTATGTCTGGACCTGTGCGCTAGCCAAGATCTCTATCGCATTCGCTCTCCTCCGCTTGACGGTTTCCAATGCCCATAAACTCGTGTTATGGGCTGTGATTGGCGTCACTTGTACTGTTGGTCTTGTCTTCTGGTTCATGCTGACATTGCAATGTCAACCAGTTGAGTTCTTCTGGCAGCGAGTTCGTCTTTTGTCAAACCCTCATGCCAATGTTTCTGGCACTTGCATGAACCTTGACAATATCATTGCCATCGCCTATGTCTACAGTATCACCGCTACACTGTGTGATCTGACCCTGGGTCTTTTGCCTATTGCCCTAGTGTGGAACTTGCAGATGAACCTCAAGACCAAGGGTGCCTTGGCGGGCATTCTGGGAATGGGATGCATGTATGCCTGCTCTTTGATACCCTGAAATAAGACTTAGTACTGACGTATTCTGGTATAGTGCGAGCGCAGCAGTCATCGTTCGCATTCCCTTCTTGCACAACTACAAAGATACTGACTTCCTATGTGAGTTTCCATTCCTCTGATATACACTCGATAAAATCCACAGAGAATGAAAATCAGCAGCAACTAACACTATTCAACCCCAACAGATGCAACCGCCAACATCTCAATCTGGTCCAATGTCGAAGCCAGCCTCGGAATCGCCGCAGGCAGTCTGGTAACTCTTCGGCCGTTATTCCGCTGGTTCCGTGACCCTAGCTCTATGGGAGAAAGTAGGAGCAAAAGCAAGCGCACCGGCGGCAGCATGCCTCTCTCAAGCATCAACGGAGTCCGCTCCACCACATCCAACCCGCAATACTGGCGACCAGACATAGATCGGGAAGATCATACGGTGACTACGACTGTTCACACCTCGAATGGATCGGAGGCTAGCCGAACGAGTAGTCAAGAAGATCTGAATCCGACACACGGCGGCACATTCTTCCAGGGGGTGAATGTACAAAAAACGTTTTATGTTTCAGAGGATCAGGCGTCGTAAGTGGCCGACCGGGTCGTTAGATAGACTATAATATATCTAAAATTTAATCCTTTTTTTGGCTCAATACTGCCTATATCTCACTGGACTGTAACAAAGGGGACATTCAGTACATATATTAAAATGGAGATACAAAGCGAGACTGCCTTATATTTCAGTGTTTAATTGTCCAATGCTAGCAAAGAGGTGAGTGGTTTATATTTAAGCGATTTCGATAACAAAACACACCATTTTAATAAGACTAGTTCTATAATAGAATTAACTATAACTACAAAGGTTAACGTATTCGGTAAGCGAGCTGCGCACCCCAGAACACATAGTAAAAGCGATGAATCACAACATGTTGTAATTTATCGCTTTTACTCATTGGAATCCGCCTTAAGCTTTTGTGAAAATCTTCTCTTCGAGCTCCTATCTTATAGCTGCCAGACCATCCGTGGCTGCGCGCGGAACATACTTCAGCCCTTCCAATGGCGAGGGATATGAGTACGCCGCAGGTCGTCAAAGATCGTGCGTTTCTGTGGCTGATCTGGCCGACCAAAGATCACTCGAGTGGCAAACCTGGAAGTATGAATTAATCGACTAACTGACTAACTAACCTCTTCCGAAGCTGAACCCCTTTAGGGTGCCAACATTCTGCCCCAGCTGCAAACCGGAATTGTGGGAGCCCGAAAATGTTGCATTCGACACATTTTGCGCCCCTTTATCCTCCTCCGGAAGAACAATCTTGGACGCCCATTGGGTAAGAACACGAGACACCTTCTTGAAATCCTTGTCATCCTCGCTGTCATACTGGCTCAATCGTAGCTGATTGCGCGCCAGCCGCTCAGGGGGAGGAGCTTCCGGGCTTCGGGCCAACCCCTCATCAACGATCTTCACGTCCTTGCCGCCTAGCTTGGTGCCGGCTCCGGCATAGAAACCCTCCACCTCGAACTCAGCCCCTGCTTGTTTGAGGCCGGCATAGGCCTGCGGGATGGCGCTCAGACGCTCTAATCGGTCTTTCAGGTCCGACTCACTCGGGATCTCCGCCTGAGCCACTTGGAAATACTTTGTGGCTGCCGCCAGTGATCCCGCCTGAAAATGTGGTGTCCCTAGCAGTAATATACCGTAGATACAGCCGATGAGCTCTTTTTTCCTGGGATGTTCGGCAGCTCGTACTAGCGCCTGGACATCAAATATGCTACGTTAACATATACATGCACACGTATATAGAGAGGGTACGTACGTTCTCCAAAACAGTGCCACCGAGACAATGTGCGACAAAAATGATCGGTCTTTCTTCCTATTCTGCTCTGTCAACCAGCTGGATCAACAGGACACTGGTAGAGCGGGGCTGGGAAACCTTTTGTTTCTCAGCTCGATGGTCCATCAGCTCGTTGATCAGATCGCTGGAAATGTCAGTGATTTCGTCGTCCTCGTCAAAGAAAGAACCGATAGACGCTTGATAATCGAAAGACAGGATGCATGCGTCGGGTACTTTGGCTGGGAGGAACTTGTCGGGCCAGAAGACATCCGCCTCGGACGTCCACGGTGCTTGGTCGCCATGCAAGCCGTGAACAAACACAATACTGTTGGTGCCTGCAAGTAAGTATGTAGAATTCGAACGGAATAGGTTACAGAAAGCGACTGGAGCGATCTTACTCAACTTTGGCGTTGGCCGGTTCCCGAACAGCTCTGATGGACATTTTGAAGATGGATGGAGTGGGAACGAAAGCCAGCTAGCAAGCAACAATTGATGATCCTTCGCGACTGTTATTGAAAGCACACTGCAAGAGGAGTGACTGGCAGAGGGAGGAAGACATACGACCAAGGTAGAAGCGTGGAAAATTAACAACCAGACAAAAAAGATTCATCCTGAGTTATGCTTCCTATTTGTCTGTTTACTCTAGCGGGTAGCTTGTATTTTCTCATTACCAAAATTACACTAGTTTGTTGAGGTACAGGTGCTACACGACTGTGGCTGGCTGTAGCCTTCGACGTCTTGTGTATCACGTCCATGCAGGACATTCAAAGAGGCAAGAACGGCAGTCCTGTTATTGGGCTAAAATCGGTTAGAAACCGATAAGTGGGGGGGAGCTGTTATATGAGATCTCACCTATTGATTCCTCTCTGTGTCATGGCATCTCGGCCACCTTCCAGCAGCTGAGCCAGCATACATAGACGCCCCAACGGGATTCCGTGTTCTCTACTTACTGGTGGCTAGATTTTTGAATGGGCGTCGGACCTTTCAAGAGTCCTTTCCAAGGTTCTAGATGGTACACTGTTTTTGTGGTTCTCCAAATAGCCTCCTTTGTAGTGGGACCTTGTAATACCGTAATGTGCCTAGCTGGTGATTCCCCGGAGATTATTTGCTGGTGTCAGAGCAAGCTAAAACGGTATGGACTAGTATGTGGCAGAGCGAAGGGGATCAGAGATGTGTGCATTGGTGATCCTGGTCTAACCCAGAACAGGAAAAGGGGCACATAAACATGTGCAAAACGAGTGGATCTAACTAAATGTGGCTAGTAGCTATCTGGAAGATATCCCGGTAGAGCGTTTTTTTTTTTCCTGACAGCTGGCTATCCCAAGTTTCAGTGAGGCTCTCTGTAAAATGGGTTAGGATAGAAAAGCAAGTCCACCGCCCAGAATCTGCATTTGTTTGATGTACCCAGAGGTGAATTGCGGCTGACCAAATGTGCGCCGGACACTCTATTCTCATTTGCTGCTTGGTCAGCTGACCATTGATCCTCGATGTCCTGTCACCGACGCACGTGGCAGAAAAAGTATCTCGTCTGAAGAAGAGGGACCATCACTGGGTTGGAGGGGGAATAACCCATCATGAACCTTCCCAATTCATTTTTGGAGGTTTCCGCTGGAGGGCCACGCTAGTTGCACAGCCTTGAGCGGGGTTGTCTGGATCAGTTTTCTGATCTTCTTTTGAATCAATTACCCCGCCCTTAAGTTTTGCTGTCTGGGCCCTTGGCACCTCATTGCCGAGAAGGTGAGGACAACATTTTCCGAAAAATGACGCCCGTCTCTAAGGAGATATCCCGTCAGAGATCCCATGCCCAATCGCGACCTAACCTTGATCTTGTACTATCTGGATAGCACCAGGGAGAGAGCACCTTCAGACAGTATATAAAGTATGTCGTAGTCTCCTCCTAGATGGGATACTCAGATATTGATTGATTTTTTCATTGGTATGTCGAATGCTATTGATTTCGAACCGAGATGGTAAAATGGTTGCGCAGCCGCAGTAATTTTTTACTACTTCGAGGCCAAGTGGGGTTGGAGGGACAGAGAGTTACATTCTAACCGGTAGGTGGCAGTCGCAACAGCTGTTAGCTCCCAATTGGTTGGCCAATTGAGTTGGTGAAATAACACTCGTATCTTTCCGTAATCTCCCAGCTTACACCCCTGCATAGCACTTTGCGGAAAATCAGTTGAGGTGCTAGACTCTACTGGGCGTTACATGAAGAATGACGACCCTCACTCATTCAATCTCGCTCGAGTAATTTACCTCTCACGCTTGCTCCAAGCTGACACCGTTTTCCAGGCATGGATACTCAGGTAGAAATTTGCGCAGGGCAGGCGTCCGACCTCGCCCAACTATGGCAGCGAGCAGTCGAAGACTATGAGAAAAGAACCAAGAAGAGTCTTCACCTGGCAAAGTTCAGCAACATCGATCAAATTATGAAGGACACGGAAGGCTTGTCGAACGAGTTCAAGGATTTCCGGCATGACCGATCGAAAACAGACAATGTGCGGGCCGCGTTGAAAAACAACCTATTCCTGATCCAGAAGGTTGTCAGTACTGTTGAAGTGGTTGGAGCTGCTGCATCGGTACGTTTCTTATATCAGTATTAACAGCGTGTATGCTGTTTGATTACCGGTTGATAAGTGCTGATGGTGGACAGGCCTTTCCTCCTGCAATGCCGGCCAACTTGATTTTCACGGCCTTTGGGCAGGTCATGCAGGTATGGTTACTCCAAAAGGGAATAGAAGAAATGAATGGGCATTAGATAAATTGAACATTTGTTTGAAAATGACCATTCCTATTAACGGCCCCTCAGTCCTTTGCCACGGTATCTGCCGACTATGACAAGATCATGGGGTTTTTCGACTTCACGCATCGCTTTTTCGACCGGCTCTCTATGATCGAGGAGAAAACCCCACAGCAAAAGCCGTTCCAGCGATGTGTTGCTCGTGTCTTCTCAGGCATGCTGATCATTTGCTCCGTTGCCCAGGAATATGCCGAGAAAAAAAGATTCAGTGAGCAGCTTTCCTTAAATCACGCTCTCTTGGTTTGGGGCGGGGCTCGATGTTGATTCATACTTTTTTTTCATCTAGAGAAGTGGTTTAGCAATTTGGTTGATGGATCGGATGGGGCTCTTTCAGGGGCCATCCAGGAAATGGAGGAAGCCGTGAATGAGCTGACCCAGGCCGTTGGACTGGCCACTCTTCGGACAGTGGAGATCCTGGACGACATTGTTCAAAGAATGAATGGAAACGTCGAGTTCCTCGTCACGAAGGTCACTGTTATCGATGGACGAATGGAGGGCATCAAATCCGATACAGGGACGATCATCGAACAAAACCGGAAGCTGGAATCGAAGCAGGACGCCATGCTCAAGATGCTTGACGAGCAATCTCGGTTATTCAACGACGCGGTTCAAAGTTTCGAGTATATCCAGATGGGGGCCAATTTCGGCCAAAGCTTCCAGACCAGTTTGCTGAAACTGGACGTGGTGCGGCTCCGGCTAACCCGATGGGGTCAATCCGTCGGACTGACGAAAATCGACAACGGTGTGAAACCACTCCAGATGACGAATCTCCCCATTGAAGATAGAGAGCAGGTCCAAGACCTTCTGGGTCAGATTCTGGAGCTCTTTGCGGAAGCCGAGGCGGCTTCGAAGCGATTACAAAGACGCAACCCCACCGTGCCAGTGCTGGACCCTGCTGAAGAGCTAGACAGCGTCTCAGCCTCACTACACCAGAAGATGGAAGAACTCGCTAAGAAGCGGCAGGGCAAGTCCGAGTTAGAGCAGGGCCAATGGACTATCATGTACGAGGAGAAGAAGTTCATCCGGCTGATCGAAGACATTAGCGAATTGGTGGACGGGTTGGTTGATCTTTTCCCGGGAATCCAGGAAGAACAGCGCAAGCTGTGTGAGGAAGAGGTGTCCGGGTTGAATACGAACGAGGGCGTTCTTCCGCTACTGAAAGAGATCGCTGCTGGCCAGGACAAGCTGCTGAGTGACACAGTTGTCAAAGTCATCCAATCGACCACCACCTACACCAACAGTGTGGTGTTCTCGGGGACTAACTCTGGTTTCCAGATAGGAAACAATTCCGGCAAGATTAGTGGTGTTCGCTTTGGCAGTTCCTAATTACTTTTGGCATGTAGTACCAGTTCAACAAAAACAATGCATTCAATATGATTCTTGCTATATGGATTGATCTCTCCTGTTCTAGCCATTGTCTATCACAAAGACAAAGAACCTCGCGAAGTGTAGACTAGATACATCGTCATGGCACACGGCACAGATAATCGCGGAGCCTGGCAGGCAACAGGGAATCCACAGAACGTGCGTCCATGTTCCTCTCGTGCATACAAATATTGGTATCAATCTCCATCTATTACCGTGAACCCTAACAACGAAAGTATTTCTGGTGTCCATAAAAAACGAGAGGCAACTGAGAAAGAGGAAACGGGCCTGGAGCTCCCAAAAATCATATTAAGATGATGAATCGACTGATGTGAACTTTCCACAGCTGCGACAAAAAGGAACGACACATGAAAAGGGCCTTCAGATGCTGACAAGCCGCATCTGACCTGACACTGATAGAACTTGAATCTTCAACAGTCAACCTGCCTGGTTAACTCCACCCCCCTCCACCCCCCCCCCCCCACCCCGACTTCCACCGAGGTAACCCGCCATACCGTCATAGCTGAAGTGTTTCCAAGTATGGTTGTAAACCATGTCGATCAATGTCGAAGCCTGAAACTTGGCCGTTGCTGAATCCAACAGCTATTTGATCACCGTGCGCATCCCATGGACCAGCCTGGGAATCAGGCAATAGCCGGAGGAAGGGCATGGCTCCATAGCATAACCACTCATCTCTGGTATAGAGATTCTGTAACGAATCCGAATCCGCCCTCATTGGCAGCTCGTCCTCTCCTTCTGTTGGGGTACTCTCAAGTGCTATTAGTCCAATGTCTGTTGCAAGGTGTCGGTTGCCTGCTGCGAATTTAATGGTATGCACCTGCTCTGAGGTCTTAATCTCCTTCCATGGCCGGGACGACTTGATATGGCTACCGAAAGTGCGCCCCAGGTATTTTGAGGTTTTGAGGGATTTTGCGATGCTCCAGACCTTGATGGTTTTATTAGCACAGACTGATGCGATATGCTGGCTGTCTGATGAAAAGGCCACTGCAATGATCCAGTCTGGATGGCCTAATAGTGTTGGAAAGGCCACAATATTGATGCTCTCTGAATAGCATGCCAGTGTCTTCTGGAGGTCTCCTGTTGCAGTATTCCAAAGCTTAATGGTTGTATCAGCGGAGGCTGATGCAATAAGTTTGCCGTCAGGTGAGAAGGTCACGGTTTTGACTTCGAGGTCGAAGAGGTCCAATCCCGTCAGGGACCCAACTCTGTTTTTGTGGCCTGCCAGTGCCTTCTGGAGGTCACCTGTGGCAGTATCCCAGAGATTAATGTTGCCGCTCTCGTGGCCTGATGCGATCTGCTTGCCATCAGGTGAGAAGGCCACTGATTTGAATGCGTCGTCGCTCTCGGATGAGTTCTGGATGTCACCTGTGGTAGCATCCCAGAGCTTGAGTGCTTCGTAAGAGCACGAGGCGATCTGCCTGTTGTCTGGTGAGAAGACTAGATCAAAGACTGTGTTTAAATGGCCTGCTAGTGTTTTCTGGAGATCGCCCGTTGCAGCATCCCAAAGCTTAATGGTTTTGTCAGCAGAGCCTGATGCAATCAGCTTGCGGTCTGGTGAGAATGCCACGGTTGCAACACTGCCTGAGTGGCCTACGATCCTCTGAATGGCACCTATGGTGTTGTCCCAACGCTTGATAGTGGTATCAATAGAGCCTGTAACAATCTGCTTGCCGTCTGGTGAGAAGGCCAGAGACATAACTGTCCCTGAGTGGCGTGCTAGTGTCTTCTGAAGATTGCCTGCAGCATCCCAAATATGGATCGTGCCATCTCCAAATCCTGCTGCGACCTGCTTACTGTCGGGTGAGAAGGCTACACTCCGGGCATTAGGGCCTGCTAATGTCGTCTGGAGATCGCCTGTTGCAGCATTCCAAAATTTGATAACGTTATTACAGCCTGATACAATTTGCTTGCCATCTGGTGAGAAGGCGACAGTGTAAACCAGGCTTTTGTGGCCGACCAGTGTTTTCTGAAGGTCACCTGTGGTAGTATCCCAGAGCCTGACTGTGCGGTCAAAAGAGCCTGATACAAGCTGCCTGTTGTCTGGTGAGAAGGCCAGAGCTAATACTGTGTCTGAATGGGCTGTAAGTATCTTCTGGAGGTCCCATGTAGCAGTATCAAAAAGCATGATAACTTGATGATCATGGTACCAACCGACTGCTGCGATCTGCCTGCAATCCGCCGAGAAAGCAACGGCGTAGGGGCTAGCATTGCCCTCTTCTGGTGACTGCAAGTGGGAATTATAGATCTTAGATGTGCCGAAGTGGTCGGCTATCTTCAGACGGTCACCCGTGGTGGTATCCCAAAGCATGAGAGAGCCATCATGAGCGCCTGATATGATCAGCTTGCTATCTGGTAAGAAAGCCATAGCCGTGATTGCATATAAGTGACCTGATAGCGTTTTCTGGAGGCCACCTGTAATAGCATCCCAGAGCTTGATTATGCCATCCTTAGAGGCTGATGCTATCTGCTTGCCGTCAGGTGAGAAGGCGACAGTTTCGACAGTCTCCGAATGGCCTGCTAGTGTCTGTATCATAGGCGTCCAACTGTCCTCCATGGGAGGGGCGTTTCTCAGCCATACAGGAATTTTGTGTAGATTTTCTCTCTTCACAACACTTGATTCAGGACTGAAGATGATGGCAGAGCTGTAGATCTGCAATGGCCAGTGCGACAAAGTGTGGTAGTGTCGCAATAAAAAGCGCATAGCATCCTGCACAAGTGCTAAAGCTAGACAGTCATCCTTTGTCAAGTTGATTAGCAAAGACGTAGACATCAGAGAAATATTAAAAACTCACTTTCAGAATAATTTCCAAGGCTTTCAATGTGTCAATGGCTTTTGGTAGCCTGTCCAATAGGCTCAGGCATTCTAGCCATTCTAACAACTTTGTCTGAAGGAATATGCTAACATGACTCTTGTCGGTGTCGTTGCTAGTATTCTTTAGATGTGACACCCAGAACAGAGCTGAATAGTCCACACGGGACAGTAAGCCATTCCTTGGTCCATTTTCCAAAGTTCTCAAAGAGTCTCTGGTGGCATCAGGCCGCGGCAGTTCGACGAGGTTGGGCTTGAGGCATCCAGATAAATAAGATAGACAACCCAGGACAATTTCTTCATGTCCGAAGCGTTCATACGAGTCGAGTATAGACAGTCCATTCTCTCCGGCCAAGTAGTCTCGAGCTGACTGATGAACAAACTCGATGTTGTCTTCCCGCAACCGGATGAATGAAGCACAGCAATCGACTAATGCTCTAATAGTGTCCTCTTCATCATTTAGGCCAATCACACTAGGAACTTCCTCCACTTTCAAAGGTCGGTATACCGTCATCATGGCCTTAAGCAGTCGCATACACTTCTGTGCTTCAGCCCGCTCACCCTCGTTGAGCTGGTTCAATATCCGTTCATAAAATGGATGTAGACCTGGCGGCAAGCTTTGAATTGTGGACAGAGCCTCATCTCGGTAGACACTCTCAAGTGACTTGCATACCAAACTTACCCATAAAAAGGTACCCTCCGATCTTTCAGTAAGCTCAGTTTCTACTTCGCTCTTCAGAGTCGCTCCATATCTATGCTGGCGACTGAGTTCCTCCACTTTATAAGCGATATAAGCCTTCACAGCCCCAGAAACAGATTGGGAATGGAGCTCTCCATCTAGACTGACTTGCACTTGGTCATGGCCAGCTAATAATACCCGCTCTGCGCTGTCCCATGGTCGGCTTGTCAATATCCATTTGATCTTGGCGGGATGATCCAGTCCCTTTCGGACGATAGATTTGAGGAAGTCAGCCATGCCGTCATCTTGACACTCATCAAGAGCATCAATGACTATATATACCCTTGAGTACTTGCACCGGGCCAACATCTCAAAGAGAATGTTCCACAATGATTGCCACGAGGTAAGATCCTCGCTGAAGCACTCTTTCGTAGTGTCCCAACGGCGACGGAGAGATTCTCCAAGCTCCGTTTGCTGATTCACTAATTGCAGAATCAACCCCTTGAGAATGGCTTCAAGGGTATTGAGCTCATAGTCCGCATTTTGGCAGAAAAAATAAGTCACAATGGTAGTTTCGTCCTGCGCCCGTGCGAGCTCCTCGATAAGACCGATTGACATCATGGTCTTCCCTTTGCCAGCGCCCCCCTTGATCCAAAGCAGACCGACATCGTCTCCATTTTCCCAGTTCTTATATTGCGGGTCTTGAAGAATCCAGTGGATTGACTGGTGAACCAACTTGTCCTTGCTCTCTTTCAACCGATTCTTTACAGCTAGCGAGTCAGGGCAACGCAGAGCATGGAGACAAATTCGATCGATGTCTTCGGTGGTGTACGCTATCAACAACGTTAGCTTCCACTCATTTCATTGGAAATCACATTGAAATTACCCCGCGGAACATGAAATTCGGCTGTGATGGAACCTTGGTTGTTTCCAATCTGGAGTCCATGGTTTGTCGCATTAAAAGTAGTCGAGGCCATCATCAAAGCACCAACTGATGCAATAGATTGTGCTGGAGGGAAGTCCTAGGTCAGTCAGCTGACTGAACGACTGGGCGCAAATCGACCCCACAAATTGTCGGAGCATACAGTGATATTTGAAATCAGTTTTAACTCCATTCTCTCTCTCTATCTCGCTGGCCCCTAAGGAGCACTAGTCTATATTAGGATATCCGTCCGCTAGCCTTGCGAATACTCAGTGTACAGTGATTGGACAAAGTAATTACACCCCTTGGCTCTTCACCGCTAGTACCGCCTTCCTAAAACGCGAAGTATCACAGAAAGAACCATCCTAAAATAGTAGGCGAAGCTGCTTTTTCGGGAGCGAAAGGCTGATTTGTTCCCTAGACCTCTAACATTAGTGCTTTTATATATGCCGTACAGTACGTCCCGAAACTAGAGTCACCACCTCTACTCTTTCTTTATTTCTCAAGCCCTAATGCCAAGCTCCATTAATCTATATCTCGTATAGCTCCGGAATAGTAATGTTCCTGTATTGACATCGATACAATACATTACCGTGATTTGTTAACTTTATCTAGAAATCTTTTTGCGCGATCGATGGTAAGCAGAATATTCTGACGGAAAGCTGGTGTACGAACAATGTATGGTATAAATGACCAATGTTGACAACTCTAACTAACTAAAATGACAAAACCCGCTATTTCAACAATCTGTGCGGACCATGATGACTAACTGTAATATGCACTTTTGTATGGTATGCCTGGTACCCAATGTCACATGATGTTTCCGGTATATTACCTGGTTTCTACCATGTATTCGGACTTGGTATTCGACATATTCGACAAAAATGCAAATATTTGTACCGAAGAAGGAACAGCCTTCACTAGTATAGTTATTTTTACCCAAGAATTCCCAGGTAAAATATACCTACATCTAGTATGCTTCAAGAGTAGGGTTTGGGAAAGAACTTTGGTATGTAAAACGGTGAAACTGAGTTCGAATTCATCCTGCACTGGCGGAAAGTTTCCAATACTATATTCAGAGAGTTGATGCACATGTCCCAACGATTCCGAGAAAAATTGTGGCTCCTGTCATCCACCAACTCGCTACACCAAATGCACCCTGAATGTCCTTCTTCAAAATTCCCCAGAGTATCCCAAACAAAAGACTAGGAGGGAAAAATCCAACGGCTAGAACCAACCAAATCTTTGACCAATCCCAGCCTTCTTCATAATAAATGCCCCACGCTTCTAACAGTTCAAAGGGGTGGGAACAAAGTTCTCCACTCATCTTTTTTGGGAGTTGTTGCAGAATCATTGCAGAACCGGGCCGTATACTGTCAGGATCACTGAACAGGTCCATCATAAGCCGAGGACCAACAGGTGGGGACAGCTTTGAAGGTATTGGCCGACACTCGTACTCTGCGCCCATTGGAGGGACAAGGACAGCTGGGGGTATGCAGTTGCAGGGCTTCCCATTTTCGCAAATCTCGCTGTGACAACGAATATCAATATAGGGATGCCCTCCGTAGGTGAACTGTTTCTCGAAACGTTAGTAATTCTCCGTAACAAGATGTCGTGATCTCGGTAGAAGAATATATATATATATATATATATACCTTCATAAAATGGATACTTTGTATTGATTGTAGAGACCAGTAAGATTCAAATGGGGTTTTATAATCGCGATAGATCCGACGCAGAATGTGGAAAAGCTGTCGGTCATCCATGATATGTGTGATGACCTCTTGATGCAACTTGACTGGATGTCTCCTTCTTTTTGTGCAAGACAATAGATAGAGCGTCCGGGATGATTGATGACCTAACTCGATATCGTTTTGACTGACACTGCTTTTGGCAGTGGTAGGTATTTCAAGAGATTGGTCAGTAATATCACCAGAAACAGAAGTTTGTCCCTGTGATGATGATGTGGCATTCGGATTTTGAAAAAGGGAAAGAGGAGAAAATGTTCGGCTTCGGCCGCCTTCAGATGCGGTCTTCGGTCGATATATAGATGTATCTAAATATTCTTGCAGGGCCTGGATAGCGCCTGGCTCATATTCAATGTAGTCATCAAAAGACTCCTTGCCGTTTCGCTGCGTGTGATGATTAAGAGATAAGTTTTCTATGAGACGACATACAATCTGCTTGGAAACTTACATTCATCCATCTAAATCGCTGATGAAGTTGCGGTATGCTCCCTTCTCGTAAGCCGACATCAGAGAGGAGGCCATACATCTTCCTGTACCAATTTTCTCTTACACAGGACCTAGAATTTGACATCGGTGCTAATTCCGAAGTATATTCATTTATAGGACCATATGGGGCTTTAGGGAAATGTTTCCCTGCAGTAGTTGACGCAAGATGACTGGAACTGCCGCTGTCGAAAATCATCTTAACTATAGCCTGATTTCCGTTCTCGGCGGCCCATGAAAGGGGAGTGCGGCCATACTCATCTTTGTCACTCGAGTTAATATCAATGTTGTCTGATCTCAATTCCCGGTCCTCTTTAAGCCACTGCTCGTTTTTCAAGATACCCTAAGCATCCAATGTATTGTCAGATTAGAGATTATTCTCCGAAATCAATATTCCAACAAGACACTCCCCAAGGATTCCTTCCCAATTAACCTAGGGGTGAATCTCCTAGAATAGTTGTCCTAAGTCCTTCCCTATACCACGAAGGAGCTCGCCTTTCCCCCCTAGGTGGTAGGGTGCATAGGGTGAAATGTTGTAAACTTTGCCACAGTAGGATGTCTAAGCATCTCGGCCCTTACGTCCGTGATTTTCCTTCAGCATGGACGGGGTAACGTGCAATAGACCTAGTGGAATGTTTGTGCCGCGAAGCTGGTTCTTCGGGTTTGCAGCTAGTGCTACCCAGTCGAGAGGCGAGAAGTCAGGCTCAAGTACCACTTTTTTAGAGCGCTGGAGAGTCAAAAGAACGAGGCTTAGACGAGCTGCGAGGGGGGTATCGATAAAGAAAATAGCCTGTTGGTGTGATCACTATACCTGCTCCTATCCACCCATTCCGAAGCAATACAGAAAGGTAAGAAGGGAGAAGAGTGCGCGCCCAGATAAATCTCTACAATTAGAGTCGTAATCACGCAGATCCGCTGTCGATATGGTTCGTGCGTCGATAGAAATGGAATGGATCTATACAGCCGCGGACATAACGTTCAATAGATCGAAGCAGTCTTTGCTTTGTGTATGGGCCACTCAATATGCTTATAGTAATAAACAATTTAAATGTAATAAATCAACCTTTGAGGCATCAATCGAGCTCTGTTACGCACGGCAAGCCTTAACGAGGGTTCAGGGTAAATGAAATCTACTACTACGACACTGTAATCAGTTCACTATTTTACTCAATGCTCGTCAATTTAAATCCTTGCATACACGGAGTCTTGGCCTCTTTAATAATTTCAGGGCCTTCGCGAGCGTCTTGCAGTTTGTTAGCTCCTATATATTATGACTATCCCTACTAGACCTCCGCAGAGCCCATAAAGCCCAAAGCCCAGCCCAACCCAACCTGTAAATGGGTTGGGTTTTTGGCCCGGTCCTTAGGCCCATCGATGGGCTATAAGCTTATACCTCGAGCCCACTGTGGGTTAATGGGGGCCTAAATGGGCCCTAAACAATACCGAGAATTTGGATAGATAAGTTGAACCCCCCTTTTAGGATTAATTAAACTACCTCTATTTTAGGTCCATTTCTTACCCTAATCCCTAAGGTAATATTTTATAATAATTAAGAATTAATTACTAGTATTCTCTCTATATCACGTAAAAAGACGTGATAAAACGCGTTAATTAAGAAATTTTTTAAATTATAGAGGTTTACTAGAAAGTAGTGGTAATTCCTTATAAAACCTAGATATATATCTAGTCCCATTTACGGGCTTTGCGGAGGTCTAATCCCTACACAGTACTGATATAGTACGTCCTGTAACTGGTGTCACCACCTACACTCTTCGATTGTTTCTCGAGCCCTAATTGCCAAGACACGCTAGTACATATTGGAATTATTACGGAGTGCCCGTGTCAATGAAATTTGTATCGTATGATATAGAGTTTTCTCTTTCTTTGGCCGGCAGAATATTATGTAATTTAAATGGCCCAGGGCGGGGGTTGTAATTATTTATGTCCAATCATTCTACACTGAGAATTTTCAAGGCTAGCGGACAGATATTCTAATACAAATTAGTGCTCCTTAGGTGGGCGAGCGAGATAAAGAGAGAGAGAATGGAGTTAAAACTGATTTCAAATATCACTGTACGGACGTCCCCTTCCTCCTGCCCTGGGCCCCGGGGTTGACCTTGCTTAGGTATCACTTAGTAAGTAGAGTATATTGCCATAGTTAGTTACTAAATGCAAATTTTGGTCACAGTATATCAACAACGAGAAGTTGGTTAACTTAACGAAAATAAGGGACTTCCCATCTTATCAACCTGACTGGGAGCTTATTGCAACTACATTCTTCATGACCTATACTTAGAAAGTATAGCATCTCTCTCCGTGCTTCTTGGACGAAGCCTATTATACTTTGAATCATCTCACATGGTAGAGCTCAAGCGAACTTTCTCGATAGAGAATGCAGCTGTCCTTTGTCTGCTTCCTTCTCGCGCCTGCTCATGATTTCTTAAAAGAGCGCACTCGCTGTGCCCGTTATTTTTCTTTTTTCTTTTTTCTTTTTCTGGAAAGAGCTAAACCGTGAAGCCGCGGAGTTAGAAGCCAGGTGAGAGCTGCAAACACTTGGAATGTACGCTTTCTAGAAAATCATGAGTGGCACACGGAAGTGGAAGTCAGGTGAGAGCATGGAGTAAGCATACACGCTTTCAAGAAACCTGGAGGAGGTACAAAAGAGACAAGAGGCTGAAGTCATGCACGTAATGCAATTTAGCCTGCATCTTTCAATCACCCCTTCAAATTCTCATATTTCTTCGCTCTCCTGCTCGTCCTTTCTCACCACCCTTCCCCTATGCATGCGTTGTTGGTGAGACACCTTGCTACTGATCTAGTTCATCGTCCTCCCACCGTATTTGCCTCCGAAGCAAAATAGCCGATCCTTTTCGGTCTCTACCCGAGGACTTGAGTGCGCTCTGCGCTGCGTTCCTTCGCTTGGCCTCGTTTCGGCTCGCTTTTCCTCAGTGCGGTTGAGATGCGGTTTTTTACCCTTGATCCACAACCCCACACGTCAATCGATCAGTCGATCGTCAAACCTTGCCTCCAGGTGTTTTCACACTTCGCTTCTGGACCATCGCAGTTGTACAGGAGATTTAAATCTGCCCCAGGGGCGCAAGGGTGTTGGCAGCCTTGGATGATGATGTTCGCATCATGGAACTGAGCAAGACCGGGATACTGCTGCGATGATTAGTGACGCTGTTATTCAGGAAGTGGCTCCTGTGAGCAGGATCGACGAAACGCAAATTGTCGCATGACGAAGACATCTCTTCTGAGCTCAGACGATGTGAGCGACTGACCAAAGGAGCTAGAACTTTGCGAAGATGTTCAATGTATTGATTTGTTGTAGACTTACAACGAATAAACATGGTCCACCCTACGAAGGGTCTCTCGTGAGAAGCAGAGCTGCCTGTGATGGCTTGGAAAAAGGGGAGGCCGTGGCCCGTCTCAGGACAGATCGTATCTGGAGCAGCAAGTCTACCTGGGATAGCTTGCAGGAGGGGGAGACGCGGTCTATATCAGATAGGGCTGCTGTCAAGGTATGTACTAGCATTGCGTATACGGACCAAAATCACGCAGCAACTCTTCTTCCAAGACACCTACAGAATATAACAGGGAAAATGAAGACTATTGACACATGTATATGTACAGCCTGGCCGGTAGTATCTTCCTTTTGAAATCCTCATTGCGTGGTTTTGACGGTTGTGCCTTCCCCTGTCTTCTCGAAGTCTCGGTCTGTAATCAACCTTGGTGTTGGGTAATAGGAGCCATAACGGCCCAGCTTCCTTTCCCTAGCGGAAGACTCTGCAACATACCAATTGTGAAGTAAGAAAAGCCCAAGATCTGGAATGATCTGCCCGGATATGAATGCCCAGGCATAAATCTGCGTCGCACATCTTACTATATTCGCGTGCCTTTCTCGTCAAACTTGTTTTGCGACGGCATTGTTTGACGTATCAATCTTGCCTTGGGTGGGGGGGGGAGTAATTAGATCGAGTTGATTGGGCAAAAGACTATGATATTCCTCATGAGAACATCATGGCCTTTTAGGCGTTGATCAATACATAGGCGCTAAGACGGTGCGTAGTTGAGGGCTCGAGGCTCCTCCAGGTGATGTTAATAGTACTTGGTGCTGCATCTGGATGTCTTCGATCCTTTATAAGGGCGTTTCTCTCCCCTCTTACGGGAACAGTGCCGCCTCCTTCATAAGCACGAGACTTCCTGCTTATTACTATATCCCACCACATATACATGAAAGGAGTAAGGTGTTAAATTCATGGCTCTAAAGGTCTTATATACAGGCTATTCAGGCTATTCATTAGCCTCAGTTGTCCTTGTCCAAGCCTACAAGTTCTGAAGAGCGCTCCCAAAGCTCCGCCTCCTTTTGCTCATCGTAGGCCCATGGTGCGTATCCCAACCCCAGAAGGCCCGTCTCTGGGATGTGAGGCCCAGCGATTTGGCAATCTTCTAGGAATTTCCCCCCCTTGCCATGCAAAACTTTTGCAACGGCTGCCCAGACTGTCGTCGCGGCGCCTTGCTCGGGGCTCTTCCAAATGCGCGCAAATGACTCATCTTTTGCCCAACCCTCCATGACCTCTTTTGGAAGATGCTGTTGCAGGCCAGTTGCAATACCCCCGGGATGCAGACTGAAGGCATGAAGGCCGCTAGATCCATACCGACGTTCAACTTCGTTGGCGGTCCAGATCATAGCCGTCTTGCTCTGTCCGTATGCTTTCCAAGGTTCGTATTCACCGTCGAGGTCAAGGTTCTCTAAATGAACAGTTGACATACGGTGCCCACTAGAGGAGACGAAAACAACACGCGACGGAAAGTTTGGGGTAGATGAGCCGAGTAAGGTAGGTTTCAGCAGATGGAATAGCAGGAAATGCGCCAAATGATTGACACCTAGTTGCATTTCGAACCCATCTACTGTTCGGCTCTCGGGTGTCGCCATGACTCCAGCGTTCATGATGAGAACATGCAGTTTCTGGCTCTGCGACAGGAATTCGGCAGCACAGGCACGAATGCTGGCTAGAGAGCTGAGATCAAGCACTAGAAGTTGTACTTGATTTGATTCCAGAAGATCACCCAGTGCCGCCTTAGCCTTCTGGGTATCTCGGGCAGTGACGAAGATCCTGGCACCTGTCTTGGACAGAGCGCGCGCGGTCTCAATTCCTATACCGGAGGAGCATCCCGTGATGAGGAAAACTTTGTCGGCAAATTTCCCTTCAAGTCCCTCGTCCTCGATGATTTGCAAGGCGGTAGGACGACTGTCCCCAGGGCCATTAGGGGCTTCGTGAGATGCGGCGTATTTGGTTGCCATTGTGATGGTTGTCTTGAAGGTATAGATATAGTACTGTGGATAGTGAAGAGGAATAGGCGATTGATACCACTAGTGAATTGATGGAATTGGAAGGGTTTATATAGTTTTCTTCTTCCATTTTTATCGGAGATAAGTTCTCCAAAGTCCATCACAGCTACATTAGTGAAAGAACAGAGTTGTTGAGTCCCACCTTCCAATGTTCCAGTAGGAGCGTCATCTGTTCTGCTCTATAGCCGCATCGCCTGTCTATTGCGGGAAATCACTGCAGTTTCGGATGCTAATGGCGGCTGGTCCCTTAAATCCGAGATCGTGCATTAGACCTAAACAAGTCCCATGGAACCAGCAATATTTGGCCCCAGGCCCCATATTTACATAATACTAATGCTCTTAACTAACTAGGGGATAGTTAACCTTGGAAGCCAGAAACTGACATAAAATGGTACCCCTAAGTTAAGTTAGTTATCGAAATTGGGTGGTGTCCCTATCAATTCCCTCTGAGGCTATATTATGCACATAAAACTAACTTTGGTGGCTGAACCAAAACCACGGGACTAAACTAATTAGGCTACTTGCTGACAGGACAAAATCCCCCAATCCTAAGTCCTGCCTGACATACGCTAACCTAATTAAATAATTTTGTGGCTGGGTGCCTGATTGCACACCCAGGCCGTGACGCTATTGTGTATGTGTGATATGTGTTGTGTGAAAGTAGTTGTACAAGCTTGGAGGGTATATGTAGAACAAAAGGGAAGAAAGGCATAAGCAGGTATTTTTGAGCAGAGCTATAAGTGAAGGATACAGTAACCAAGTTGGATTGGCCAGGCATATAAACGGATCAAATCATCACAGGGTCCATTCTTGGTTGATCACGAGCCCATTTTCTGAATTTCAAGCGATCATACTAGCGCCGAGTGGCAACCAGGAAGACTCAAATGCTAGTGCCTCTAGCTTTATATACAGCTATAGTATACATTAAGCCCTACTGGGTGGTTCATCTGGGTGTGTCTGTGGAGGGTCGAGTGCATAATCCATCGGGCAAGGGATGGGATATGGTCGTTATGCAACTTTTATGAATTACCCACATCGTCGCCTGGCTTTATGCTTAATATCATAGTATGGCCTGTCAGGAGGGTTTCCACTCGTGTATGTAATCTTGTTTTCCCGCATAAATTTATGTCTCGTACCTTGACGCCCAAATTCGGACAGTTGACACGGTTGAATGAGAGAGGCCGACTGGGCCTGGGGTATAAAAGCCGTGCCTTTCCCGGTTAACATTAGCCCCAGAATTCTGAATGATTTGAATTTTCAATGGCATCCACTCCAAGACCCAATCCTAACGCCGTCCGCAGTTTCGTAAAACATCGTGTGGCCCTCGTCACCGGCGCTGCTCGAGGCATCGGCTTCGCAACAGCTGCTCTCCTTGCGCAACACGGTGCACGTGTCGTACTCGTGGATCTACATGAAGAAGAATCGAAGAAAGCATGTGCGGAAATTGGCCAGAAGGCGTCATGGCAAGTCTGCGATGTCACAAGCAGGTTGCATTGTTCGACAAACATCAAGAAAACAGTCGGATCTATTAGCATGCTGGTCTGCAATGCGGCTGTCAACCCCGAAGTCGCTCTCTTGCAGACTCTCGGCAAGGAAAAGTATGTGCAGTCGAACTCGCAAGTCCGATACAATTACCTGGCGGATGAACGCCTGCGAGATGATACTCCCAAACGACCCTCGACCAAACTCATAGATATCAACGCCAACTCCGTCATATTTGGATTGAAATTTGGCATCCACCACACGAAACAATATGGTGTAGGTTCTATCGTTGGTCACTGCATCCGCCGCGTCCTACCTTCCGGTGTCCTCGCAGCCGCTGTATGTGGCAAGCAATCACGCCGTGCTGGGACTATGTCGGGCTACGTCGCAAATCAGCGAGGTGATCGATATCATATCCTTTAATATTAGATTTACCGAGAAGTTGCTTGATCTACATCATGGGAGGGATTAAACAGGAATTGACTCATTAGGTTTGGAACAGTAATAATACATAAACGCACGAGTCAATTCAAGATTAATCAGACTTCTCAGTATTTGTAAATATATATACAGGAATAATTAAAGTGGAAAAGGCTGTCCTTTCCATTGGCGAGTGCCCCCTTGTTGACTCGATATCCGCTTATATTCGACTGTTACGTTCTCGCGAGGGAAAAGCAAATAGGACACTTCCAGGTCCTGAACCTTCGGCTGCCGGTAAGGCAAACTCAGGATAGCCATGTGGTATCACGTATCGCTCTTCGTCACTTAGCTACGGCTTGTCGGACTGTTCCCAGATATTTGTCGTCTCCCTGTTCGCGATATCGCATGCTCGTTTGATTTCTTCACGCTCAGTGGCAGCATATTGTCGTTGCTTTTTGATTTCCGAGCCATTTTCACCTCAGGCAGACACGGTTTCTACTTCTTCGTCTGATCTTTTCCCGTAATTTAGGCTCCCAGGTTGAAAATGCTCGTCGCCGGAATCAAAGTCAGGGCGCGCACGTGTGTCAACGTGATCGGGACGTGCTGGTAGAGCTTGTTGGGACACCTTACTTGGCCTTGGGAGTAACCAGTGAAGCTCAACTTTCATCGTGGCCTTTATATCATTCTCGAATCATTGATATGAGAGAAAACTGAAGCAATGCCATCGTTTGGAGACCTATCAACCGGACCAATCGGTGCTATCGTGATGCTAGTTTAGCACTCTTGGTGCCTTGGCTAATCCCCAGCAGGCGTATGTCCCATCTCTTAGTATGGTTCAGGATCGATGATTTCGCGGTCGCAGAAATATGCCTGAGAATAGTTAGCTTATCATGATCAGTATGGATGGATCCGACCACTTACATAAGGTGGCATCACCATCAATGAGCCTCCTCCGGTATATAAGTCCAGGTTACCAACAACTTTGCCATTTCTCTTCTTCGTGTTAGCATAGGTAAACAGGATCTGGATATAAAGGGGGACTTGTTTATGTTCTTACCTGAGGCACGAAAATTGACCTCCAGTTCCTTGATATCGCTGTGCCATAAAGGCCTCATAGTCAAGTGGTTCGCCAGAAACACTTTACAATATGTTTCATGTGCCGGGGTATTAAGGAAATCTGTCTCATTCTCCGGCTTCTTCCGGATATGAATACGGCGAGCCCACACACTACATAGTTCATGTAGCCCCCGGGAACGCGGTTATCACTGCCTTGCTATCCTCGTATACTCAGGTGGTAGACAGGGAAAGCCGGCGACGAGGAATCTCACGAACTTTGTCCGCGGGTCTTGTAGATCAAGGGGGGAGTGGATGAGAGAAAGAAATATAAGAAAGGAAACAGACAATATACTAACTGGAGGTAAGTGCGGATATATATAACTATGTCAAGGTACTTTCCTTACGATAAATGGAAGGAACCAATAATCTTTTTCTACACGTTAAGTAAGATCAAAAACACCCCCTATCATGTGAGTAGTAACTATATAAACCCACATGACATGCAGATGTGCTTTTCAACGGGGCTGCAGGACGCACTAAGACCGCCACCATGCAGGTCTATTCAAATGTGAAATACTTTGTTTTCCTTCACCAGACACTTCATCGACGTCCCTTCAACAGCCCGGCCGGGCTAGCTCAATCGGTAGAGCGTAAGACTCTTAATCTTAAGGCTGCGGGTTCGACCCCCGCGTTCGGCTATTCCTAAAAACCAAACCTGAGATTTCTTTTTTGCTCTTTTCTTTTTTTTTTGCTCATATATATAATATAGTCCCAAAGTGATGGGGGATTTTATTAGGCATAGAAAATGGTGTCTAAATATAGAGTTTTGGGATTTTCTTTTGGGATGTATTTTTAGATGTCTTCTTGCAAAGAGGTAAAACACATAAACTGTTGCAGAGAAGAATTCTCTATGTATGACTGGGGAATTCGTCAGCCGCATCCCTTTGTGCTTCTAATATATTGCACTGTGCTAGACCTGATTTTGGTTCTTTATTTCTTTGTCCCATAAAGCTACCGATGAACTATATAAATGCCTGCATGGTACTCGTAGTATATAGTTATCTCCGTCATTGGCATATCAGTTAACCAGGCTTGACATCCATCCTTACTTACTATTCAACACTTGGATACTACGTATATAACTTCCTTTGTCTATATCTCTCGGCTAAAGGTATATCATCGTGTGTTCTCTTCTCATCGACTCCTCTTCCTGACACGCTGCTCTAGTTCGTGTCGTACTTTACCACCGTTTCGATACCGATTTCTCTTTTTGAATTTTCACCATGGTAGGGTTTCGAAGCGGCATCCGAAAGCGTTTCCGAAGCTTTGGCAGAGCCGTGAAGAACGTGTCACTTGCTTTTGTGTGTGGATGTCTAGGACTGTGTGTGCTAGTGCTATATGTTGCGGGGAGTATTTGTTACGTTGTCATTAGGGCTGGTGTGTTAGTACTATATTTTGTGGGAAGTGTTTGCTGCCGTGGTTGGGACTAGTTATTGAAATTGCGAGAAAGATCCATCACTCCTGCGCATAGGCATTTTAGTCGGTGGATAGACATATGATCTCTTGGTGGAGATACATAGTGAAGGCATTGATTGTATAAATCCTAGAAAGAACCAACGCCCGATGCTATGCACATATCATCATAAAGCAAAGTGCTCGAACGCCAGAACACCAAGCTTAAAAAAAGGGTGCGAGCGGGACTAGACGGATGGGTGACTAAAAGACGCAAGGAAGATAGATGTGCAGGCACCGCATGTGAACGAAAATAAATATCCCCACTCCAACAATTAAAACTCAAGTCAAGAACTTGGCTGTAGATTCCCCGTATAAACACCTTCGAAATCGAGATTCGCAAGCATGCCACTGACATGATCGATTTCACGGCTCAAGTCCTCAACGTTCATCGCTAGGCTGCTGACTTCATCGAATTTCCGCCGCCGATTGGCATCAGCAATCATTTCGGACACGAAGAACTTCTGTTCTTCCAGCACGATCAGGCGGTCTCGAAGAGACTTTTCTTCTGCTTCCAGAGCTGAGACGGCACTGCTGGTATCGCTGGCTAAGCTGCTATTGCTACCGTTGGCGGCAACGCTGTTGTACTTGATAGATGCAAGAGCAGACTCTGGTGGCCGGAGACCCGCCGAAGAGCCATTGACTGGAGTACTCGGGGAGATTGTCCGCGGGGAGCTTGTCCGGCTGGGTATTCTTTCTGACGCGGGGGTTGCATGCTTGAGGATCTTGGGGAGGGATTTCAGAGGTAACATATGGAGGTGAAGGAAGTTGCTGGCTTGTTGATATATAGCCTTCTGCAGCTTTTGTTGTGTGGGGGACTGGGTCGGCATGTCACGGATACGTCGAGCTGCAACATCATACTGTGCAAAAGAATCAATCAGTCGCTTGCGCACCTTGGATGCATCTGCAATTTGGGCGGATGACGGAGGTCGCCTCGGATCCCTGGTACAATGCCATTAGTAACTGACCATAACACCGGGAACGAAAAACATACTGTAAGGCTGTCAAAAGCTTTTGGAATCTAGGTAGATGAAGGCGGATGCCTCTCTCAAACTGGGTCAAGTTTTCATAAGCCTTGATCTCCGGCGGTTTTCGCGTCATGTCTGCCTTAAAGTCGCGTCGATCAAACAGCGTCGCTTTGCATTCCTTGCACAGCCTCACATCAATGTTGACAAGGTTATCACCATTGGTTTTCTCGGAGGTTGCTGTCGAGCCTATTAGATATTAAACCAAAGTCACGAAGGAAGGTCGTCTCGGAACTCACCAGGAGAGATGCTCAGCCCAACCTCATTAGAGCACTCGGTACTAGGATCGCCGCAGACGACTCGTCCGCAAGTTCTGCAATGGTGCCTGCGAAATGTATAACCCGAAAAATCCTGTTGGCAAAATGGACATCGTGAAACACTGGCATCATCTTGCCAGCTGACAATCGTTTGCTCTATTTCTTTCCGTTGGTCATTCTGCCACGCAAGAGACCAAAGTTTGGTTGCACTAGGGTGTATTTGTTCCGGTGGTAGACTAGCCAACATCTGAGTGAGACGGGTAAGTCGTTTCTCGAGTCGGGAAATCTCTAAAAATTCCTTATCGACAGTCTGTTTTCTTATTGACTTGAATGCATCCATTTGATTCCTCACGGTTCCTGTTGCTTGTTTAGCTGGGTTCACAACTGTAAATCCGATATTCTCACCATTATGATCGTTGTACCCCTCTCTTGACTTGTAGCAGGTTTCGCATACTCGAGCCCATATTCCTCGCACCGGTTCGTGATGTGCCGCTCGCGAGAGCTTCATTTGGTACATCGTGTGTTCTTCGCAAAACAGTTTCCCGCAACTCCGACAGTTCACACAGCCGTTGGTGGCATTCAATCGTTTCCCACAAGATGGTTCCAGACACTCGTCGTACATACAACTTGTTTGCCAGTGGTCTTTTGTTATGAGATCCTCGGGGTCTAGTAGCTTCGGAGGTTCGGGCATGCCTGCATGGTGTGCTAGTGGGCGGCTGGGGAGAGGCGCGCCCTGGTTCTCGTTTGATTCAAACACATCCAGGCCTTTCAACTTCTGGTTTAGGACTGCTAATGGCTGGAACTTCCTTGCCTTTTCCATTTGGACCTTGAACCAGTCTTTGACTTCATCCTGGTGGCTATCTTCCAGGTTCTGATGGATGTCGTCGAGATGTCTGCGTCAAATCGTTAATTATACATTCAGGCGGGCATGAGCGGGTGACGATGGATCGGTACCTATTTAATTGCAGCAAAGTCATCTAGACGCGGTCAGTATCATCTCATTTGACCTTTAAGAAACAAACAGGGCGGAACAAGCATACCATCTGTTCGCTGCAGATCGGACAGGAGAGCTGAGCCCCCGGAGCAGCCGGGGTGGCAGATATAGAAGTGCCGCCATTCTCTATTGAAATGCGTGAAGTGAGATCCTGAGTTTCTGTCGAGAGCTGTGATGCGGCCTGTGAATTAAGGGAAACGCTGCTGGCGGTCGGCGAGAGCACCCGTGGCTTCGGCTGCGGGGACGGAGCTGATGTGAGCGCGCTTGGGTTGCCCAGAACACGACCTCCACCCAGCGTCCTCCGCGACATGATCACGGGGGCATGAGAAGCTGGAGTAGAAGCTGTTTCAGCACAACATCCGTTGGCTGTACAGAATAAAAGGTCCTTGGAGGTGACCGGAGGGAAGTGTCAGTTATGATGTGGAGTCAGCATGTGGCTCCAGGGGCCGCCTAAGGCATCTTTGCCAAGAGTTCACAATGAGACTATAGATTTCATAGATATTATAGATGATACTATTTTTATCGAGTTGATTTAGTTTATATATTAACTGGTTCGACATATAATCTATCCCCCTTTTAACACCCATTTCAAAGGCTAAGCTTATGTAGCATTATTGCCCAAGAGTATATACCTCGGTAGCACAACATACAACATACGATATACAAAAGAACATAGAGATGTTAAATATTTGCCCAATTTGTTTTATGTGCTGTCTGATTTGAATTGAAGTCATACCTTCGCCAACGATGAAACCAGACTAGTTGACCCAAGCAGAAACGACAGACTGAAACGAGACTGAAACGACAGACTGGAAACGACAGACTGGAAACGACAGACAAGAAACGCCAGACAAGAGAAACGCCAGACAAGAAATGATAGCTATATAGCTGCTACTAAAAGCACAGACAACAAATCAGGCACTTTTTGGTTTTTTGACGCTTTTCATCCTTTTTTTTCTTTTGCCTTTTCATCTGTTTTTGCGTCTTGGTGATTCATATAAAAGGTTCGTGGTCTCATGCCGATTATTTACAAGCCTGGGTCCAAACCCAACGCGCATCCAAATCATGAGCGCGTTTATCGCTCATAGTCACGGTGGTAGCTGGTACCAGTGTTTGGATTATCGTATTCCTTGTGGACGCGAGTAGATCCGTCATCAAAGCGGTCAACGTCGCGGTGTCGATAGGTGCCAGCGTTGTTAACGCGCTCACGGTGGTGTCGACGGCCAGTGGGGGTGCTGTAATCAAGATGCTGGTCGTAGGCACCGGTGGCAGGGTCGTATGATGTGGTGCCGCGGCCGGTGTCGGTATCGTAAGTCGTAGCAGTTGCATTTGAACCGTAGCCCACTGCGCCAGTGCCAAGGCTATAGTCTCTTGTACCGTATGTGTTGTAGCCTGTGGGGCTGTATGTTGAGCCTAGAGTATCATAGGTTGAGCCCGCAGGGTTGTAGGTTGATCCTGCCGTGTCGTAGGTATCGTAGGTCGTGGACCAGGTGTCTCCGTAGTTGGTCATCTTGACGATGTGTTCTCGTTCAATTAGTATTCTTTTGTGTATTCGTTGTTGTTTGGATTTTTTTTTGGGAAAGTAAAAAGCACAAGGTCAGTCTCATTCTTATATCCTTGTCGTGGCGTTGAATCTTAGGAGGATGATACTGGACTGACATCACTTGGGCGGGTATGGAGAATTCGCCAAGTGAGGCAATGAGGCTGAATGGGAAAAGAAGCTAAAGATATAAATCGCACAACTTTGGAAATAGCTCTGATTGATCTAATTGTTCTGGGGCATCGGTTCCAGACTGTTGCCTCAGAAGGCGGGATGATGTTGTATACTTCTATACCCCAGACTCGGCAGATGATTACATTGAACCCCACAAGTGCCAAATATTCAATAGTTTCTGTAGATTTCCAGAATAACACCATGGAATTAATTTGACTCGAGAGAGTTCTGTTTATTTCGTTTTACCAAAATAGGTGGATGGCTTGAATCGAGACCGCAGCCGGACCTTAGGATTAGCTCAAAACATCAGGTGGGGTTCGATATCCCCGAGGTCGTGCCTTGAATAGACATAATTGTTGGTGCGATTTGGATAATGTCGGAGCAAAGAGCAAGAACGCTACCTATACAGTCAATACTAGGAAAGAATAACAATTAGACACCATAGACACATCAGAGCGCTTCAATTATACTATGTTTTACAACCCTTAGGTTGGCTCTATGTTGATGTCGGCTCTCACCTAGCCAGTTACACCTAGCTATCCCGACCAAGAGGGGCCAATGAATCCGACAGGAATTCAGTGGCATTCATCAGGTCTGTGCTTCCATAGACAACTCTGCGGCGGTGTCCAGGTGCCGCACGCTGAGCTGGCGCACCCTCGGCGCCCGGTTGGCCGTTTGTTCGGCGAACCCATTCCTGCAAGTTGCCGTACTCATCCATGCTTCCACCACCAACTGTAAAGACAATAGCCTCACTGAAAGCTTGACGACGTTGTCCGAAACTGGCACCGGTGCCAGGGCCTGCGCTACCAATTCCACCAGGCATCTGCTGGTTCCGCGAGGCGGATGCTGGAGGCATGGCGCCACGGGCGTTGGCGCTCCTCGGGTCAAAGTAGAGGTAGTTTTCGGTCTTTGCAATAGCAGAGCTTGAAGCTGCAGCCGGATCCATGATCGACTCGGTGATCTTGGTCACAGTAAGATCCTTGTTCGCTGGTAGGAAATTCTTTACGCCTGAAATGAGCGAGTCGAAGTTGGCGCCTAAAGCGCCCGAGGTGATGCGATCCGTCAGACGATTTGAAAGTGAGGAGAACCCACGGAATAGATCGGAGGATTGTTGTTCTGGAGCGGCTGTTGTCATCATGGTCATACGGGTGATCTCGCGCACTTGGCGGACATAAGCAAGAGAGGAAATATCGGTCACGCCAGCTTGGGTCAGGGCCTCTTCGAACTGAGTCATCTCCGAACGGCTGAGCTCAGTTTCAGTGCTGAGGAACCAGATCACGAACAAGCGCAGCTTGTCCAATGGTTCACTTCCCTTAGAAGCGTCATTGATTAGCTCTAAGATCTGTGACTTTGATTGTTTGGTAATGGTCTCTTCCAGCTCGAAGAAGTTGTCCAACTGCCGATCCTTGATACCCTTGAGCAGTGCAGTGGCAATGTTCATGTGCATATCAAGAACTGCCTTGCGTTCCCGTAACTCGGGGAGAAGAGTGATGGCGGCCTTGAGATGTTGCGCGGAGGCGCTGGTATCATTCTGAAGATCTTCAATTGAAGAGGCTCCCGTCTTCTTTGTAATCTCATTCGCATCATCCTTGTACCGTGTAAGCTCAGCATCAATATCCTCAGCCACTTGGGGGAAGGGTGCCCCGGCGTTGCGTTGCCAGAAGAAATCGGTACTGTTCAAGTCATAGGACTTTTTGGAGCCTTTAGCCGAGTCCGCATCGCCTGCACCTGCATCCACAGTGATTCGATTCAAACGCATTTCAAGAACATCCTGGACCAGGGATTGATATGTCCACGAGTGGGAGAGCATTGGGACCAGATCAACGTTTCGGTCCATGATGATTAGTACCGGCCGTGCGGATGGCACTCCCGGCAAAGCGTTCTGATTGCCCGAGAAGAGGTTGTCTTTGGAATTGAGGATGTGGTCCCGCAGTTTCCGGTCCAGTTTTGTTGCTATCAATTCCGCCGCACCACCCTTGGGGCACCGTATGATTGGAATAGCACCTGTCCAGCCAGTCAAATCTTCGTTCAGTGATCCAAGGTAGGATATAATACTTACCCATCGTCACGCTCACACTGAACAAGCCGCTAACCACATTATCAACGATCCCATCCAGGTCTTCATCAGTCGTTTTTGGGCTGTTGATCTTGTAGTATGCATCGTTTCCAAGCCCTAAACTGAAGAGGTCTGGCTCTGCCACAACAAAGTTGAGATATTGATCGAAAACCTGCGCAATATGCTCAGATGCGCCAGAAGTAGCTATTTGAGAAGCGAAGTCCTCGAGCAGTGGCCGCGGGACGGAGGATAGGAAGTTCACATAGGCTGGGGAGTAGAGCCCGTGGGAAAGGTCACGAGTGATCGCTTGGATATTGTCAGGGGTTGGTTCCACAAAATATACAACTGGGACATCTGGGATAGGGTATCTTTGCGAATGGAGGTTTCTAGGAGTGAGTCTTCGTTAGTGATGGGGTCAATTTAGGGGGGGTGGCGTGGGGAGGGGAGGCGGCAACCGTACAGATGAATAGTTATGCCCCATGCCCGGAGGTCATTTACCCTCAGGACACTGCTGATAACATCCCGGCCCATTTTATCGAACACTAAGACTTTCCAGATCGGGTCACCATCTTCATTCAAGATCGGAGTGGAGTGCGAGATAAGACCGCCGGACCCGGACTGATCGATAGTGTTGTCTTCAACAGGTTGTGGATCATGATTCAAGTTCAATAGCTTTTGAATTGATGCTAAAAGTCGGGGATTAGTAAAGACTAATTCATCACAAGAATCTAGCTTGTGTCACTTACCAACCTGTCGGTCCCGGAGGGACATGGACTGCGCCATGGCAATAGCTGGCAGCGCCGTGTGAGATTGGAGAAATGCTCGGATTCAACCAAAGCTTGACAATGTATGGAGCTGCGCAGGAAGACAGCTGAAATATGCGCGCAACTCTTAGAAGAATGATGAGATTGTACCTTGCACTGTTGACATCGGGGATCTTGCTATCGCTCCACCTGGCATGGATCCCGCTGAGCTGCGCTGACATAAATGTTGCAAACGCTCCAAACACGAAGGATCACATGGAGTTGGTTCTGCCATGTAACACAGGGGCTGTAATTTACATAGCGGTGGGCCAATGGAGGTTCTCCAATACTATAATTACGGTCAATTGTGGTATGCCATCGTATCATCGGTTAACCGCCTTGCCAGCAGCTTTTGTCCCTTTTACTCTCTTCTTCAACCCAAGTCATCCACTCTAACCATCCCTCAACACCTTTCCCCAATCCCTTCTTTTTTTTCCGTAAAGCGAATGGCTGTGACGATAGAGTGGCCCTTCGTATGAGAGCTTTCTCCTTCTGTGATTCCGCAAGGACTTTCTTTTGGGACAAAACTTAAGAACGAGAAAGGAGAGCGAAAAGCCTAGGGACAACAGGAACAGCCCAAGAAGAGAGAAAGGAGATACAAAGTCAAGGACACAAGGAGAGAGGCATCGGAGTTGAAAAAGCTGGGCCATCTTAATACTTCTACGTTGTATTCGCAACTGCGGAGCCTTCGTCATTAAGCTGCAAGGCCAAAGGGTAACGCCGTCACTCGCAGTACTGGGGAAACAGGGTTGATGCCTGAGGCATACCACTTTAATCCTGAGTCAAAGCTAAAAGCAGTCTGTGTTTTCCCTCATAAGGTACGACAGTACTCATACTGCAACTCTTCAAGTCCATTCTAGGCGTATCAAACATGTGAATTGTCTAATCCTTATCAATTCTTCAGACCAGCAGCTCTACAGGCCCCTGTTCTGCCGTGTCGTGAGACGGCCATCCAATCATCTCACGTTCTCACCGGAAAAAATATTTACCCTGCCGAACCTCAGACCCACTTCCTTCTCCCAAAAATAAAAGGCGGTGAGCACAAAATAAACTCCAGGCTTGTTCAGGCAGGTGTATGCACGTGATTACGTGAGGTTTCATAGTAGCTTAGAGAAGCTTCGACTGAGGCTCATATCATGGAGCAATCAGCTCAGAACCCTATGCAGGGGTTACCTCATGGGAATTCCTCACTACCTGCAGATTACTGGAGCACGCTTGATCCCGCCTATCCTGATCCCGAGCATCAGCTTCAGCAATCATCTCAACCCCAACACCAATCTCAACAGCAACACGATTCCGCATCGCAACCAACACCTCTTGGCATCGGATGGGACCATCCTGTTTTTCAACAGCAACAGAGAGAGCTAGCCCCACGACCGGAACCTAACCATGGCATCTACTCGTCAGTGCATCAGCCTTGGCAGCAAACAAATCCTCTGCAACAGCCACCGCAACGAGGGTATGGAGCTTCGCCCCAGTATCAGATACATCCACAAACTGCTCAATTCCAGCAAGGGCAGATGTCCTTTGACTCTCGTCCCTTGAGTGCCTCCGAATCTTCGGCATTTCCGTCATTTTCATACCAGCCAAATTACTTCCATCCACAACACCCACACATCTCAGTGCCAGACACTTTCCCCGAAGGACCTACGCAGCAGAGGATACAGCCACGACCACAGCAACAGCAACAGCCATCAATTTCTTCATACCCTTTACCTCAAGGCTACTCCTCAGAGATGCTTGTAAGATGACATAAATGCCCTTTATGGTGACCATGGCTCTAACTCTAGGCAGCAAAACACAATTGATTTGACCAACGATTACCCTGATTCAGACCCGAATGTCACCATTAACCCTCAGTTCCTTAATTCTGCCCCGCAGGCATTCAATCAACAGCAGTCTTCGTTGGCAAACAACTTTCTTCAGGGAATTCCTGC